CTATTCTATTCTATTCTATTCTATTCTATTCTATTCTATTCTATTCTATTCTATTCTATTTCTATTCTATTCTATTTCCATTCCATTCCAGAAAAGGGAGCAATGGCGTCCACAGGAAGGCATCCGAACATCACTGTCTTGCCAGCCGTTAGGGGAAGATGCACCGTTATTCTGAACGCAGATGACTACAAGGCCAAAGTGAGCCGTTTTGGGAAGGACACCGCTACCCATGAGGCTCTGAAGAGGGATCCTACCAGCAGCTTGAAGGAAAAAAGCGTTGATTTTCCTGCAACGATCAGAAGATTCTTGGAGGAGAAGCCAAAAGTCTTCAAGAAAAAAAACAAAGGAAGTCCAGTTGCCTCTTGAAAGAAAAAAAAAGAGCACCTTTGGGACAAGCCTCATTTAGTAGAGAAAACAAAACGCCTCCTTTGTGTATTTGTGTGTGTGTGTGTGTGTGTGTGTGTGTGTGTGTGTGTGTGCGCGCTTAGCCCGGGACAGGACAGCTGGCACATTCATGAAGTCGTGCTGTTTTTTACAATTTGCCATCCACGGGGCCTGGGGTTTTGCGACGATGCGTATTTTTACACCGATCTGTTTTCTAATCGATTACTGTGTTGCGTAGGCAGCGGGATCGGAGTTTATGACAACTGAAGTGGCACAGGTGCTCTCTGAGCTGGGTGGCTTTCTTGCAGATGTTTCATGACCCAACTAGGGGACATGATCAGTGCTGGAAGGGAGGGGGGGCTGTAGGGAGGTGGGGAGGAGGAAGGCAACTATGGGGGTCCTTGGTGATCTCTGAGCTGGGTGGTTTTCTTGCAGACGTTTCATGACCCAACTAGGGGACATCATCAGTGCTAGTTTAGTCTAGTTCAGGTAATGAAACATCTGCAAGAAAATAAGCAAAGAGAGACCCCCAAGGAGACCCTACAGCCTCCCTTCTCCGCCACTCCACAAACCCCACTCCTTACAAGTACTGATGGTGTTACCAAGTTGGGTCATGAAACGTCTCCAAGAAAACCACCAAGCTCAGAGAGCACTAAGGACCCCAACGATGCTCCTTCTTCTCATCTTCCTCCTCCTCCTCTTCTTCTCCACTCCACAAACACCACTCCTTCCTAGCACTGATGACGTTACCTAGTCGGGCCACAAAACACCTGCAAGAAAACGAGCTCAGAGAGCACCAAGGAGCCCTCAAAACTGTATTTTTTTTTTCCCCACGTCTTCCTTTTCAAATCCCCACCCCCCCGCAGGCCTGATCTTCAGCCCCCCCATGTTTTGAGACACACACAGGATGTGTGTGTGTGCATCTCTTTATGATGTGTGCGGTGCAAGCGTCCCCGGAAAGTTACGGCTTGCATCCTGTCATCAAGGAACATCTGCTCCAAAGAGGAGAAGAAGAAAAAAGGAAGAAGAAGAAGAGACGAGTCCCCCCCGCCCGCCGCTCCTTCCAGCCGACTCCGGTTCAATTATGGCAAAAGGAAACACGGGAGGAAAAAGAAAACGCTTCCCTCGACATTTTCTCTCTGCTTCTCTGCAGATGAGCCATTATCCCCGTTAAGAATCACCAATCTTCTGCAATTCAGCCGGGAGATGCGGAAAAATGTCACCTCATTAGAGACCTTTTATATCGAGGAAAGCATCACTGCAGCATCCAGGCACGTGGGGGTGGGGTGGGTGGGTGGGTGGGGGGCCTTTTCCCCCCCCCCCCACAACTGCCCCCCCCCTCCCATTCCTGCCCATTTGAACGCAGAGCCACAGCTTCCTTGATTGACAAGCCTTTCCTCTTGCCGGTCCTTTCGTAGAACTATGAAAAATCTTAACGAGAGAAAAATCTTAAACCCTTATTTTGTGTTTTTGTTTTTAATTTCTGGGTGGGAGGGGAGAAAATATATATTTTCACATACACACACACACACACACACACAGAGTTACGACCTCCAGTAATCCTCCAGTTACGACCACACAGATAACAGATAATCAGAGTTGGAAGGGACCTTGGAGGTCATCTAGTCCAACCCCTCCCCGCCGAAGCAGGAGACCCTACACCATTTCTGAAAGTCTCAAGCGATGCGGCTCCCAACAACTCCCAGATCCCTCTCTCCCGGTTCCTGCTATTGAGCCTGGTTTTCACCCAATCTACTATATGTTGTACGATATGTACACAGGTCTAAGGTGAAGGCCTGCCTAATTTCACCAGCACAAAGTGTTCCATGGAGGGGGAGATGCGCACGCATGCATAGGGAGTGGGGCGCACGCAGGGTTGCGTGCATATGTGCAGAGGGGCACGGTGCGGGGGTGTGTGGGTCACATGCACAGAGGCACGCAGTGCGCAGGCAGGCAGGGGGAGGGGGAGTCACACGTGCATTGCATTATGGGTGGAGGCAGGTGTGTGCGTGCCCCTCTGCGCACGCGCACACTTTCGGCACACAACGAGTCAAAGGTTAGCCCTCACTGCCCTATAGCTACCAAGTACGGCAGCGTTCTTAACCATCTCTTCAACCTTGGCAACTTTTAAGAGATGTGGACATCAACTTCCAGAAATCAGAATTCTGGGAGTTGGAGTCCACGAGGTCGCCAAGGTTTGCGAAAGCCTGTCCTAAGGTTCTTCCACTTTGTCTGGGTCACATTCCCCCCCCCCCCCCCCCCCCATAATTTTCCCTGAAATCTTGGCTGTCTCTGCCAAGGGACTTTTGAACATTTCTTGGCTGAACCTCCTGGCTCTACACTTGTTCTCTAGGACAAAAGCTAAGCAGGAGCTCGGGAGGAGGAAGATGTCTCGTCTGATCCTGGAGAAGTTGACCCACAGACATTTGTTGTGTCTATTAACGCAAGCTTGGAGACCTGACTGGAAACCCTCCAGAGATAATCCATGCTCTGTTCAATCTCCGTGAAGAAAACAGCTCTCAAAAACTCAACGAGTTGTTTGTGGCCCGCCCAGCGACCAGCGGAGCTGGCAGCAGATTCAGACAGTGAGGAGGTTGGGGAGGAACATGGGCCGGTCCTGGTGTCTGGAGAAGGCTGCTCTGCGTCGGAGGCAGAGGTGGGGCCAGGGCCGTCCGACAGTATCAGCCGTCTTTGGAGTCGGACATCAGTGGGGAAGAAGAACAGCTGGAGCCTATTCCCAGTGTGCGCATGCACAGAGCTGCCAGGAGAAGGGAACAGCTAAGGAACAAGGGTCGACTCGGGAGTAAAGGCACAGGTGGACGGTGAATGGCCCCTCCCATAGGGAATAAAAGAGGAGCGAAAGGGGAGTGGGGCTTTGCAGAAGGCAATTAGTTCATTTGGGTGAACTAATTCTTGCATTCTTGCCAAGTATCGTTGGCTACAGTGTGGCACCTGAAAGATATCAGCCTGCCAACTCTCCAAGCCTGAAAAAGGTCTGTAACTGTAAAATAAATAAAAGGGGTTTATCGGGATGAGAAGTTGGCTTTGTCCTGTCGGGGAACCCCAGGTCAGAACGCTAATATTACTCCATCACAAGCATCCCCACCAGTTTAGAAAGCAAGGAGGTCATGTTGTCCGTAGCATCCCATCTCTTACTCAACATACGCCTCTTGAGGAACACTGAGGAATTCGTGTACCTCCAATCTTTCCTTCAGCAACTCAAGGTGGCACACGCGTCTTGCAAGAAAAGATCTTGAGAAGGTGGCTCGGCTGAGAAGAGGGACAGAGGCAGGCCCAAAGTCCACCAGCGAGCTTCCACAGCCAACAAAGAACTCAAACCTGGTACCCTGTCCAAGCATTTCAACACGACACCACCCCAGCTTTCTAGAAGAACCCCAACCGATACCCCGCAGAACCGCGTGGACTCCGAGAGAACCATTCTTCAACATCACTTTTTGGGGACACAAGCTGTTGGCCGAGACCTCTTGTGCTTGGTTTCAATGTGGTAAGATAGATAATCCGAGTTGGAAGGGACCTTGGAGGTCCTCTAGTCCAACCCCCCACCTAAGCAGGAGACCCTACACCGTTTCGGACAAACGGCAGTCCAGTTTCTTCTTGAAAGTCTCAAGTGGTGGTGCAGTGGTTAGAATGCAGTATTGCAGGCAAACTCACTGCCGGGAGTTCGATCCTGACTGGCTCCAGGTTGACTCAGCCTTCCCTCCTTCCAAGGTCAGTAAAATGAGGACCCAGATTGTTGGGGGCAAATAGGATGACTCTGTAAACCGCTTAGAGAGGGGCCGGAAAGCACTGTGAAGCAGTATAGAAGTCTAAGGGCTATTGCTAGTGTTATTGTCCTTCCTTCCTTCCTTCCTTCCTTCCTTCCTTCCTTCCTTCCTTCCTTCCATCCTTCCATCCATCCATCCATGCTGCACAGTGATTAGAATGCACTACTGCAGGCAAACTCTGCCCACTGTTAGCAGTTTGATTCTGACTGGCTCAAGGTTGACTCAGCCTTTCCTCCTTCCGAGGTGGGTAAAAACGAGGACCCAGATTGCTGGGGGCGATAGGCTGACTCTGTAAACCGCTCAGAGAGGGCTGGAAAGCGCTGTGAAGAGGCATATAAGTCTAAGTGCTGTTGCTAATATTCAGGATCAATAAACACAACCCAGCTAGCCTGCCACACCAACATCTTTCAGCTTTAGAAGAGGACGTAGCAGACTCAATTCAAAGAACCCCCCCACCCCCCCCCCCCCCCGACGTAACCTCGCGGTCAGAAGCCTCCAGCAATCTTCTCATCTAGCTCAGCTTACATCTAAAATTACATTTTGTCTGCCAAACAGCCGTTACGGGACCGACTTCCTAAGGGCCTGGCTTTGGCCCCACGGCGAAGATAAGATGCAACGGATGGAAAAAATGCTAATTTGGAGAGAAAAGCGTCCTTGCAGAGGGACACTCAACCCACAGGGCTCGTGATTTGCAAAGAGCATGAAGGAGCATCTCGGGGCATCGCAGATCGGTATCTGGCCCCTGTTCACCCTCTCGGCTGTACTCAAAGCATACTCTTGTCTTAATCCTGCGGGGCACAGAGGACATCCGTGCTGACCTTAAACTCGGACGGTCCTAGCCTGTAAACCGAGCTTTCCTTTGTAGACCAGCAGGGTAGTTCACACGGGAACACCAGAAATCCGGAGAGGAAACATTACTCGGTGGGCCAGGTCTCCTACTAGAACTTAGAATAGAGTAGAGCCGTTCTGGTAGACCACGCCCGCCACGGCCACGCCCACCCAGCAACTGGGCAGCAACAAACCAGTTGCTGGGATTTGTGAATCCCACCTCTGCTCCCTTGGGAGATTTCCCTACCCGTGAGGGCGACCGAGCCGTGGGGATTCCCGTCAAAGCACGCTACTCACCATCGTAAGTCAGGATGTGGCCTTTCTTCCCCTCGTAAATGACGTGTCCCTTGGGCAAGGCCTCCTCCCTCGCCTTCTCCGCTCGGCTGGGGCTGTCTTCTCCAATTACCTTAGTAATGGTTCCTTTGTACAGCACTTCAGCTGGGGTGCCCTTGGAAAGAAACCAAGAGCCTTATTTAAACGGCATCACGAGCAATTAAGGCAGAGAAACAGCAAAGCAGGAAGAGCACGCGGGCGTAAACGCAGGCCCCGGCGGACGAGCAAGGAACGGACCGGACAAAAGAGAACAAATATTGAGCCAATACCAGCTGGGGACTTGTTTCCTGCCACACGCAACAGGCAGAAGACTACAGTCGAACAATCAGAAGAACCACCAGGAGGGCGAGATTCAAGTTTTGGGGCGGGCATTAGGGTTTTGTTTAACGTTAGGAGGAACACGGGAAGAGCAGACAGTGACAAAGATCAGATTCTGCAGAATTAGGAGCTAGGAAAGGATCCAGAGATGGGAGAGCTGTGAAGTAGAAGGTGAAGCTGAAATGAAGGTAGGTATGTACACACACACACACACACAGATACACACAAACAGTGTGTACAAAACACATCCTGCTGCCTCTCCCTTTCAGCCCCCTACAGTTCTCTTCCAGCAATACTGTTTATTCCTCTCTACAAACATATCAGGTTGTACAAGATTGTTTTCCTTTCCTTTGGCCCTTGTGGAATGAGGCCAGGAAATTTCTCTCTGTGAATACAGAAGGGATCAGGTTGACTATCCGGCTCGGAAGCTCAACAAACATCTAGGCATAGAAAATACTTCTTCCGACTTAGATCCCTGTCGTATCCCTATCATGAACCCGTGGTGGCGTAGTGGTTAGAATGCAGAACTGCAGGCTACTTCTGTTGACTGCTGCCTGCCTATAGTTCGAACCTTACCGGTTCAAGGATAACTTAGCCTTCCATCCTTTCGAGGTTGGCAAGATTGCTGGTGGCTCTGGTTGACTCTGTAAACCACTTAGAGAGGGGCTGTAAAGCACTATGAAGTGGTATATAAGTCTGCTATTGCTATTGTTCTTCTTTTTCCCCTTAATTCCTTCCTTCCTTCCTTCCGTCCGTCCGTCCATCCATCCATCCATCCACCCAACATCCATGGTATGCAATGATTAGAATGCAGCATTGCAGGCTAACTCTGCCCACGACTAGCAGTTCAATTCTCACCGGCTCAAGGTTGAACTCAGCCTTCCACCCTTCCAAGATGGGTAAAATGAGGATCCAGATTGTTGGGGGGGGGACAAGAGGCTGACTCTGTAAACCGCTCAGAGAGGGCTGTAAAAGCACTGCGAAGCGGCATATAAGTCTAAGGGTTATTGCTATCCAAGCCCATCGGCCAACCTTGGGTCTCAACATCCATTCGCTAAGAACGAGAGGTGGATAAACGACACGCTCGATGTTTGGGTTCGCTGGGAATCAGGTCTGGATTATTCTGCACGCCAAGCACACGCCTTGCCACGGAGCAACATTTCCCGTTCCTCAAATGACTGGGTAGGGCCCCTAAAGCTCTAGATCCTATCCAACTGCAGGATCAAACTTGACAAGCGCATGACGAGCTGGTTGGTGGCGCCCCTGCCAGAGATACGGACTAATACGCTTAAAGATAAGCACGCCTACATCTAAATGTTCACACGCATGCTCAGTCTGTACTACCTACCCTGACTTATGGCTGACTCATAGTCGGGAACATTTTTCAACAAAGATGTTGCTTTTTGAAACCTTAACTCTTATACCTATTTAAGATGATGTCACTGTTATCAATGGGTGACTCCTGGCAATTGATGCCCTAGGCCAACGGTTCACAACTTCTGGTCCACGGACACCTGGGAGGCCGTGAGGTCATCCCAAGGGGCCTGAGAATATTGGATGCAATCTAGTGCTTTAAATCCCGGGTCTTGGCAGTGCATGACCATGGTCCGTGGCCCCAAAAAGTATTTAAAGGGCACCACAGGGAAGAAAAAGTGAAAACCACAGCCCTAGATCGACCGTGCCACCAGTATCACTCTGGAATTCAAATGCGGTCGAAGGAGGTTGAGATTATACGTAGGGCTTCACCGTGTCTGCACATGTTTCGGTTAGTAGCTAAGGTGGAGAAATTTCATTACCGCATGCTACTATTGGTCTCTTAGGGGACGCGGTGGCTCAGGGGCTAAGACACCGAGCTTGTCGATCAGAGAGGTCGGCAGTTCGGCGGTGCGAATCCCTAGCGCTGCGTCACGGAGTGAGCTCCCGTTCCTTGTCCCAGCTTCTGCCAACCTAGCAGCTCGAAGTAGAGAAATAGTGGGAAGGGAACAGCGCTCCGTGCGCCTTCAGCGTTTATTTTATTTTTTTAAAAAAATGCCATCGTAAAGTTGAGGAGTACCCGCTGTTTATGTGTCGATAGCATCACAGTGCACACAAATGCCCATGTGAGGGTCCGCATGACCATTGCAAATGGTGGGACTCAATGCCAAGGATGCATTGTGCATCCCAACACAAATGGATGTAAACCGCCATAAATGAGATTAAAATCCCTGGGAGCGGTTAATGTTTTTTTTAAAGGCCTCAGATGGGGTTATTTTGGATGCAACAGACGGTATTGCAGGGATCCCAGATAAGTTCTGAATTATCTTATTATTCTGCATCTTAAGACAGGAAACCAGCCCTCCTATCTGATGCTATCTAAACCAGTAATTGGGAAAGTAATGCTCACCGTTAATTAAAGATTCGGGGATGACACATACTGCAAGCCTCCTGTATTTTTAATTTTTTTTTTTTTCCAGGGATAGCAGAGTTGCATTGCAGAGTTCTGCCCCTTTCTGCTAGGTTAACCCTTCAATTTGGGGGGATTTATTAATTCATTAAATTTACATAGTTTCCTGTTACAGGAAGTGGTTCTGGACAGTGCAAGTGTTGTGGCCTGTCAGCTGTTGGCCCCTCCAGCAGCCGAATCAGAGGAGGAGGAGAGAAGGAAGAGGAGGCGGCATGGGAGTGAGGGTTAGCCTCAAGTCAACCTGGGAGCTCCGAGGGGGAAGAGGGAATGGAGCTGGCAGACAAAGAGAGAGAGGCAGAGCCTGAGTCATCAGTCAGCCCTCAGATGGAGAGTTAACAGCCCCCAGGTCTGGCGGTGGCTGATGAGAAAGAGGAAGAACAGTGCCAGTCCAGTGCCTGATGCACAGAAGGCAGTGGAGAGGAGAGCAGTGGAAATCTATGGGCTGGTCCTTGCAACGGAAGAGCCACTGCTGCTAGCGAAGACCCACCCTAGCTCTGGGGATAAAAGGCAGGGGGCGGAGATGAATAGATGTGGTGGACAACTATGCATCTCCCTGCCAGGCAGAGTTGTTAGCCTGCTGTGTGTGTGTGTGTGTGTGAGAGAGAGAAACTTTTTGCCAGATCTGCTGGCACTCCTAATAAAGGAATCATCGATTTAACTACAGAGGAGCCAATCAAACAAAACGACCATAACAAAGTCATTAAAAAGTCTTAATTAGAAAATGACTACATTGGAATACTGGATCCTAAAAATGAGATAACAGTATTTCCAACTCAAATATTTGGAACGTAGCAAGAGGATAAAACGTCTTCAAGAAGCAGCAAACTTGAATATTTCAGTGGTAGCGAAGAACTTTTAACCGCCATCCCTTGAGCTGAAAATGTTTTCATCCCCCCCCGCCCCAAGCAAACTAGCTGTTTAAACAAAACCATAATCTATCCTAAAGACGATGACTTGTTTCAGCAGTGTAACGTTAGGATCCTTCAAAACTGTTTCATGGCAGCTGAACCCAAGGTTTGTTTTATCAAGAAAAGGCGCTGAGAACTCCAAGCGTTCTCATAACGTAGCTTTAAAGATCTGAATGTCAGCCAGGGAGGAGGAGGAGGAGGAGGAGGAGGAGGAGAAAAAAAAGGAAAGACAGGGAAAAAAAAGCCAAAGGGTAAAAAAAAATAAAAAAAATAATAATTCCCTCTGCTCCGTTTCCAGAGAAAGCAATAACTGGAGAGAGTACAAAGCTATCACCCATTTGGCAAGCCTTCTGTCTCTAGCGCTGATTGATGGGAACCATGAATTCTTTGCTCTGCGTGTGTGTGTGTGTGTGTGTGTGCGCGCCTGGGGATGTGCGCAGAAAGGAAAATGTCTGGAAAGAGCTTGAGGGATCTCAAAGCCCAGTTCACGTTTCCTAAGGAAGAGACGCAGCTTGTCTTCTCCACCCGCTGAAGAACACCAGCCACGTTCTGAACTTTGGTTGAGTTCCACCTGGAACTCAATTCCTTGTCAACAGGGTTGGCTTCAAGGCCAACCAAAAGTCTTTAGTAGGTAATAACCACCCCAGGTCTTCTTCATCATCTAGGACAGGGGTGTCAAACTCAATTTCATTGAGGGCCGCATCAGGGCTGTGTGTTGACCTCGGGAGGGCTGGGGGCGAGGGGTGTCGCCAGGGTGGGTGTGGCTAGCATGACATCACTTGTGTCGGGTGTGTGTGCCTGTGGTGGCCTGAGTGCTCTGCCAGTGAAAACAGGCTCCTGAGCTCTGTTTTTGGCTGGGACAGCCTTCCTGCAACCCTCTGGCAGTGAAAACGAAGTTTGGGGGCCACACGTGGTCCTCACAAGGAGGGGGCCACACGTGGTCCTCAGCTCCGCTTTTGCTGGCAGAGGCACCGCAGGCCAGTCCTTCGCTATTTCCAGGGCATCCCAATGGGCCAGATCTAAGCACCTCGTGGGCCGGATCCGGCCCCTGGGCCTTGAGTTTGACACCCCTGATCTAGGACAATGTAGTTGTCAGGATTCCGGCAGTTAACCCCAATTAAATCATGTGTCTCGAGCCAAACCTCCAGAATTTCAGAAGGATTTATGGGGTGTTAACATGTCCGGCACTGCCTGGGTGTAAGCAGACTCTGAGGCGCATCATTCAAGCTTCCACACGCTGTTCTTTCAATCCCTTTCTGTTGGCAATTCCTCAATGACCATAGAAATATTTGATGAGTTGAGTTGACATCGGTTGGCTTGAAGACCAGCCAAAGGTCTGCAGTAGGTATTAACCACCCCGGGTCTTCTTCACCTTTTTGTGCCCTCATCAATCTTTGACCACACCTTTCAGAACATTCTCCACCATGGCTCCTTCCTCATCACCAAGACACTTCTGGGGCACTCCTAGAAAAGCTCCCTCCCACTCCCCAAGAGAAGACTTACATGTGTGATGGACCCCCGATATGTGATGGTAGATTCTGAAGGTGGCCTTGTGCTGGGAATCCCTTTAATGATGCTTCCACCCGACAAGGAGGTACCTGCGGGATACAATGAACAAGAAGAGCTGATAAGTTTCAAAAATCGTTTACTGGATGTCACCAACCTGTCACCTATTCCCGGACATCTGGGAGGGGAAATGCAGCTTCAGACAGACTGATGGGCTGATGAGCCCAGCACTGCTTCTACGAGTTAGAGAGTTCTTCCAATGGCTTAGACAAGGGGTGTCAAACTCAAAGCCCATGGACCAGATCGGTCCACAGGGAGCTTAAATCTGTACTCCCTATTCCATTCCATTCCATTCATCTATCCTATCCTATCCTATCCTATCCTATCCTATCCTATCCTATCCTATCCCCTTCTATTCTATCTCCTATTCTATTCTATCTCCTATTCTATTCTATTCTATTCTATTCTATTCTATTCTATTCTATTCTATTCTATTCTATTCTATTCTATTCTATTCTATTCCATTCCATTCCTATATTCTATTGTTTTATTCTATTCTATATTGTTCCCTATTCTATTCCATTCCCTATTCTATTCCATTCCCTATTCTATTTCATTCCCTATTCTATTCCATTCCTATTCCTAAATTCTATTCTAATTCTATTCTATTTTCTATTCCCTATTCTATTCCTCCTCCTCTATTCTATTCTATTCTATTCTATTCTATTCTATTCTATTCTATTCCCTGTTTTATTCCATTCCCCATTCTATTCCATTCCTATTCCTATATTCTATTCTTATTCTATTCTATTCTATTTTCGATTCTATTCCCTATTCTATTCCATTCCCTATTTTACTCCATTCTAGTCTAATTCTATTCTATTTTCGATTCTATTCCATTCCTATTCCTATATTCTAATTCTATTCTATTTTCTATTCTATTCCCTATTCCATTCATCCCTATTCCTATATTCTATTCCCTATTCTATCCCATTCCCTATTCTACTCCATTCCTATTTCTATTCCTATATTCTATTCCTATATTCTATTCTATTCTATTCTATTCTATTCTATTCTATTTTCGATTCTATTCCCTATTCTATTCTATTCTGTTCTATTCTATTCTATTTTCGATTCTATTCCCTATTCTATTCCATTCTAGTCTAATTCTATTCTATTTTCGATTATATTCCATTCCTATTCCTATATTCTAATTCTAATTCTATTCTATTTTCTATTCTATTCCCTATTCTATTCATCCCTATTCCTATATTCTATTCCCTATTCTATCCCATTCCCTATTCTACTCCATTCCTATTCCTATTCCTATATTCTATTCTATTCTATTCTATTCTATTCTATTTTCTATTCCATTCCCTATTCTACTCCATTCCTATTCCTATTCCTATTCCTATATTCTATTCTGTTCTGTTCTGTTCTGTTCTGTTCTATTCTATTCTATTCTATTCTATTCTATTCTATTCTATTCTATTCTATTCTATTCTATTCTATTCTATTCTATT